TCAACACTGTTGAATCATCAGAAACAATGTACTCAGGAATAAGAAGCATTTCAACATTCCTTAAATATCTGGGTGCCAAATTAAAATGTTTGTCTGATTATTGTATATATAATAACTTATGAATACTCTTACAAATTATTGGATAAAGTCATGAACCACTTATTTTATATTTTAATAAAAGGTGTTAAAGGGTTTTCATCATTTCTGAATTAACAGAAGAATCAAGAGATCTCTGTCTGGTATGTTTTTAGGGGTTAATAAAAGATGAATTATTTATTCATATTTGTAAAAATGAATCAACAAAATGTGATCATGAAACATTCAGCTTCTGTGACCAGAGAAGAAAGGTTGTGTATCGTGTTATTAGTATTTCATAAAGTCCTCCTCTCTGCTGATCCTCAACACAATAAAAACTGATGAAGTTTGAACTGGATTTGTCTTTTTATTTCACATTTAATCAAGTACTGTATTTAAGTAACATTATGAGGTAATTTACTTGTGTATTTCCACTTTGTTACTTTTTACTGTACTACACCTCAGAGGTACATATTGTACTTTTTACTTCTTACTGTTGCAAATAATCTGAGATAATTGATCCGCTCTAAAGTAGTCATTCTATTAAAAGTTCATGTCCTGTTTGAGGATCATGAGGCTCTGGAACATCTCTCCCGTCAGTCACACCGAGTAGAACAACCTCTTCATCTTCTACAGAAAGATTCACACCCTTTCATGGAATGAATGATTATTTATTGCTCGTGTACGGTGTATACTTTGCTGTTTTTATGATTCTGATGAATTAGTTCTTTCTCTAAATGTTTTCTCTGATGCGTCACATTTACTACTTATTACCTCAACACACCAGTGTAAACAGCAGCAACAGAGAGGACTTCATATTTAATTGTCCAGCTTTTGAGTTGAAAGAACTTGATCTCAGCTGCAACATAAACGGTAAAAATAAAAAACTAATACGCTAACACAGATTTACTATTAACCCTTTTAGGCCCAGGCTTAAATCAATGTTTTATACTATTTTTACTTCCATTTATTTGCCCCCTAAATGTTATTAGCTTTTAAATATGGATAAGGTTTCTGGTGGAGCTTACAACAATAAATAACAGTTGAAATGTGAAAAAGTGCAACAAATACCCTTTGATTCAGCTTTTCTTCAAGTCAAACCTTGTCTCCAACCTTTCTGAATATATAGGAGTCAAGTTTCACCACCTCGACTTGAAGTAACAGCAACAGCCCCACCGCCAACAATAAATAACCAACAGCCAACCAGGAACTCTTTGACTCCTCGTAAGATGAAACTATTCAGCTTTCAACCATTTGTCGTCTTTCTTCTGGAGCTGCAGCTGTGAAGATGTTGGTCTGGACCATCAGGCAGCCTCTGGAAACACTGACCGGACTGAGACAACTCTGCTGTCACAGTCACACCTGTAGTTGACGAGTGTCACACGTGGAACTTCATTCAACACCATTCATTTACATCTTAAAGATGTACACCAGCCAAAGACAGCTGGTGATCTGCTCTCTGTTACACTGACTTCTGGTGACTCTGAGCTCCACAGAATCCCTTCAGCTCATTACATAAATAAATAAATTCAAATCAGGTTGAGATAACAACATATGAGATCAAAGAGGAGCCATTTAAAAACCCATCAGTCATGCAGAGCATATGCACTACAGCCCCAAATCCACCCCGACACCAAAGGGAGGGCTGGTCAGCTCTCTCAGACACACTTCTGAAATGTGTTGTTCAAATATTAATGACATTCTGGATGTTCAGTGTCACTAGTTTCTGAAGACTAAATAGTGAACGAGTGACAGTAAACCTGCTGTACGTCCATCGAGTGTCACGACCTCCTGACGAAGCCTAATGGTGGAAGTTAACTACATTTATATTCACAAACTCTTAAGTTCTAAATTCATTTAGATTAAGAAAACGAGAGAGGGAATAAAACAAAACAATAAGAAGTTTATCTTGTGGGTTTAAAACTTAAACTAAAGCAGGAACATCAACACTGGAGAAAAAGGTAAAAAAGAGATGACTGATGCTACAAATCACTGATATTTATTTAATGTGCAAAACAAAAAAAACAGATATCTCTACAGACTCTATTGCAGGTCATGTTAGCAGCGTTGCTCTGTGGACGGCAACATTGCTCCAGACTGAAATACCTTTTAAATGTTGCGACCCCAAGCGGCAACTTGCAACTGAGAAGTGAAGCCAAAGAGGAAGTTACAGAAACTGCAGTTCCTCAAACAGCCACTTGAGGCTCCAAAAAGCGAGTCAATCCCCATAGACCTCTATGTTAAAATGAACAACTTTACAGCAGAAATAAATGTGTTTACAGTCTGGGTCTCTGTAGCCAACATCCTCCTTCATGACAACTCTACGTCACTCCTCCTCAGTCCAAATATGGTCACTTCTGTTTCCTGTTTGCTACAAAAAAACAAGATGGCGACGGCCAAAACGCCAAACTCGAGGCTTAAAAACTGAAAAAACAAAAAGGTGACGTCACGACAACTTCCTCCACTTCTTATAAACAGACTGGTCGCTAACTGTCTGCTCTGCTGTGTCACCGGGCCGCCTCAGCTCCTCCCACTTTGATTTATTTTAGAGTTAGGCTGTGACGTCACCGCCGCCCACTTTGAGCTTCACCACGGTTCTTAAACCTCTGGGTGACGTCACGGAGACCTCGTCCATGTTTTATGCGGTCTAAGGCGTTCCAGCAGAGTCAAACACATTTGGCTTCTTGATGTTTGAACACTTGCAGAAACAATGCAAAGTTAGATTAGTTGTAGTGTCCATGTGAGCCAAAGTGTATCTGCATCACTTCCTCCAAAGCTCCCTGGTTAGATACAGAGCCAGAGTTGAACCTTCAGGTTCCAGCAGCAGTGGGTTTGTGGAAGAAGCTGTGGATCTGCTGAGCTGCAGCCTGACCCACGATGGGCTCCAGCTCGGCGGGGGCGGCATTGCAGAGCTGCTGGATGCTGGAGAACTGCTCCAGCAGGGCCAGAGCTTTGACCCTGCCCACCCCGGGGACATGCTGCACCAGAGCCAGGACCAGCGGGTCCAACAGCCGGGACGAAGTCCTCCTCCTGAAGGGGTTCGCTCTGCCCTCCCCGTGGACCTGGAGACCATCGGAGAAGGTTTGGAGAATCAGCATTAGGCCACAAAGTGTAGAAAAGAGGTCACTGATAGGAGGGCCGCGGTCAGGGTCCCGACGCAGACGCCTTCCTATCTGGACCCGGATCTAGACCTCATAAATGATTGAGCATTAGTACGTTTTCTCCACCTGGACCTCTCCTGGTGTGGTGCTTCAAGTCTTTCTACACCAAGGATCTGTGTTTGACTCTCTTACAGTAAAACAAACACATGAACGGGTCCTCATTGTCGAGTCCTCACATCAGTCCTCACACGGGTCTGAACAAAGCTTTGCTCCTTACTGGATCAATGTCGGAGAAGGAAACACTTGGAAACAGTGAGGCCGTGTGTCAAACACCAAGAAATGTTTCAGCAAAGAGGAGCACTGACTGAAACACGGAGAACAGGACGTTCTCTAAATGAGCCTGAAAGTGAGTTTAATCACCACGTTTATCATGAGCAACACATCAAACTGGTGTTAGTCTTCAGTACTCACCATCTGAGTGATGAGCTGCGAGGCCTCGGTCTGCCCGCCGACCGGCAGCAGAGTCAGGCCGAGGTCCAACACCACAAACTTCTGCACGGCAGCGAAGTACTGCTCACTGAGTCTGGTGTTCTCCAGCAGCACCAGCTCCTGGAAGCTGCTGCTGCTGCTCTGTAAGAACAGGTGGGGGGGGGGGGGGGCACAGTTCATATCAGGCAGAACCAGAAACAAACGGCTTCGTCTCCTCCATCAAACTCACATTTCTGTAGCGAACCAGTTTCCTCTTGTAGCCGTTTCCTGCTATGACGTCGCACTCGGACACGTACAGGATGCAGCTCTTGTTGGGCAGCTGGAAATCTGCCACAGCGAGCTCCTCCTCAAAGAGGATCCTCACACCGCCACCTGCAGCACCAGCAGACGCCTGTTAGTGACTTCGACTGATTCACTGTGAGAGAGTTACTAATCTTACTGCAGAGAAGAGGACGTTCTTCAATCTGCAGAGACGAGCTGCATTCTGCATTTGACAGACTAATAAACCTTTCTTTAATAACATCACGTACTAGAGGCCACATAAAGCACTCATTAAATAATGTGAAGCAGAAATAGAGGTACTACATCAAAGCTAAAGGTTCATTGTGAACTCAACAATAAGATCTTCTGCTTGCAGCTAAAACACCTCGTCAGGCTGGTAGAAATTAATTAAACATCATTGTTTCCAGATGTGATGATGGAGCAGCAAAGGAGTGAGCCTGCTCACTTCCTTCTGATCTCTGCTGAGTGAAGTGTTTTCTGCAATGATCTGAAATCCAATGAAAGAATCCCATTGGCCGTTTGTGGAGGGAACCAGTGCGAATCTAACTTCCGGGGTTCGCCTCCAACAACATGTGTAAACAGTCAGTAACCCGGATGTGAGCAACGTTTGGAACAAGTTTGTTGTCTCCATGAAAAAAAAGATAACTTTAGCTCACGTGACGTGTTAAGAGTTGGTATTTGTACTGTTTTTATTAAATTAATAAATAAATAAAAACCCTTTAAGCCTTGAATGAGGGACGAGTTTCTCCACTTCTCGCTGGTAATAACATGTCCGTACGGAGGAACCGCATTCAGCACCGCTTTGGTCTCCATGTCGTCAAACACAGGACGTTTCACCGCCTCAACGAGGTTCAATACTAACTGTTAAACTCTCTCTGAATAGTGTCTCTATAGAGAGATAACAGCAGACCTTCCTGTCGAGCTCACAACACCACTGTCTGCTCCATTGACTCCAAAACGTCCAAATGTTCTTCTTCGTCTTCAGCTCGTTGGTGTAGATGAGGAGCAGATGTCTCGCTGTCGCCCCCTGCAGGACGAGAGAGGAAACACGTCCTCACACGAGTCGCGTTTGTCACACATTTAACACTCAAACAAGCTCTTAAAAGTGATGAAGAGTAACTAAGTACATTAACTCAAGTACTGTACTTAAGTACAACTGTCAGGTACTTGTACTTTACGTGAATATTTTCATTATATGCTGCTTTATACTTCTACTCCACTACATCTCTGATGTTAACTAATGTAGTCTCATGTATTCTAATAACTGCATTACCTGACGTCAAGTGTGTTAAATCATTAAAAACTGAAGTATTTGCGTGTTACTTCAATGTTCCAAAATCATATTTTATGTTTTGTGATTATAAGAAGCGTTGCATACTGGCACAAATTACTGAAGAGCAGTTTATGAATAAAACAAAAGTTATTTGATTTTCTCTCTTTTTCTTTTTAAATAAGAAATG